TGGCTATTTTTTGTTGCAGTTTGACCGGGCTGGGTTTGAACCCACCACCCTTGGTATATGGGGCTGGCGCCCTACTCACTGAGCCACAGGCATGGCTCCTTTCTCACTTTTTACATCTCACATTGCTACTATTTATAATGTTGGCTTTTATTATACTCAGTATATATCACATTTATTCATGTCAAAGTGTTTACTGATTTAAGACACCTTTATTCATTTGGTATGAGTTATTCAGCTTGTGTTCATTGCTCTTTTTTCATTTGTTAGCTTTCTCAAATGTTTGCCTATTTGTTTATTGAGATTTCCCATTAAATCATCTATCATAGTGTGACTAGATAGTGTTTGGAGAAGAGAAGAAATTATTACCACAGCATTTAGTGAAAATGAGAGATGTGTGGGTTGTCATTTGGATGTCAAAGTTTCAAAATCCTCTTTGGTACTGACAGCCTCCCAAAGTATTGTCCTGCATATCTCTCTACCTCCTGTTCCTATAACTCTGCTTCCTGGAGGCACACACCTCTGTGCTTCCCCTGTCCTTTGTAGGGCATATGGGGTGTGTGTGTGTGTGTGGAGTGTGAAGTACTCCTCCATTTTCTTTACTTAAACTGATCACTCTGCCTGTAGTCCTTGGCTCTTTCTTACTCTTGGTTTCTACCTCTCCAAATATAACACACTTGGCAATGCTGCTACCCTGTCTGGCAGTTTCCATGTTCAATTTCATTCTACCTATTTACAAGCTTACAGAGATTCTTCAAAATTTCTGGTAACTGAGAATTTGCATTCTTGTTTTTCTACTCTGCCACTATCCTTTACTAAAGTAAAACAAACCTATTTAAACCTATACTTCTCCAGCAACATGTAGGAATCTCAATAACATGTTCTTTTCTTTGCATTTTTCTCTTTTTAAAAAATAATTGACTTTGAACATACATTATGCTTGTAATCAGAAAAAAGTGTATATGTGTGTGTGCATATTAAAGTTTTGAAATATAAATGTTCTTTTATGATTCCATGGTGAAAGTGGTGACCCAGGATAAAACAGAGAGGCTGAACACTCCTGCTTCCTTAAGATGCTCTGTGAAAACTTCTGAGGAAATCTTGATTGTGACCTGGCAAAAAAAGACGGCTATAATCCCAGACAACATGGCCACCTACAGCAAGATACATGGGGTTGTAGTCCAGCCTTACTATAAAAGCAGGATGACCATCACCGAGCTGGAACTCGAAAACTCAACCATCACCTTCTGGAATACCACCCTGGAGGATGAAGGGTGTTACCTGTGTCTCTTCAATACCTTTGGTGCTGGGATAATTTCAGGAAGAACCTGCCTCACCCTTTATGGTGAGAATCTTGGAATATATTGTCTCTGTCTGGAAATAGTATTATTAATAATGTTTGTAGTACTTAGTTATTCAGGGTCCTAATCATAAAAATCATTGTGAGAAGATATGACCTTTCATGTTACTGTTATTTGCAGAGTTCATTGGGGCTACATTGATTTCTTTGGTTTGAGATAATCTTTTCTCTAGGGTAATCCTGCAGTCAACAAGAGTAAATTGAGGACAATGGTGAGGGCAAAGCATTCTCCATATGCAGTGATGTGATTCAGATCTGGCTTTGCCATTAGCAATAACATGACCCTCTCCAGTCACTGCACTGATGTTTCTTGGTCTGGACAATGAGTGTGAAATAAGTCATTCCAAGAGTTCCTTACACCTTTAATGTTTTGGATCTGAGGACAGAGCCAGATTGGGCTAACATGGAGCCAGGTGTGGTGATCCTTCTCATTTTGCATCAGGGAAGCTCTGTGAAGATTATTAATAAGGGCACATACAACAGAGGCTTTTCATACCTAAAATGGTGCCAAGTAGAAATATAACTAGATAATAAGCATTCTTTTAAAATCCAAGAGGCGCTTGGTCTGATGAGATTCCTTTCCTCTTAACTAACACGTAGCTGAGATGAAAGGTTGGAAAGTAGGAATAATGAGTAACTTTGGAGCGTTGCATACTTTCTGGTGGTTTAAGGAGTGAGAAGACAAACTTAGGGCTGTTAATGAAGATTACAGTAAGTGTTTAAGCATTCCTGGAATTCTGGTTATGGGGGAAGAGGAGGCTTAGTAGATAAGAATGCAAGGGAGATCTGACAATTCCAAAGGAAGTTTTTTCACTTATTTTGTCTCTGATGATTAGTCCTCTCTGCAGAAGCTTATCATTCATTCTTTCTGTGTCTGCCTTTCTGTCTCCTTCCCCCCTCCCTTTTCTCTCTCTCCCTCTCCCTTCCTTCTTCCTATCTCATTTTTCTCTTTTTCCTTATGTCATATTTTTCTCATTTCTGTTCCTTTTTTCCCTCTTCCTCTTTTTCTTTCTCATATTTGCCTTCCTTTACCCATAATCTTTTGCATTTTTTCCCCTAAAAACTAGACGACTCTGAGCCTTCAAGCAAGTAATCCTGCTTTCATCCACACACATCCTTTCCAGCCACACCTTACAGCTTTCATCTAAACTGATCTTGGATACACCAGAGGACCCTGCCACCGGGTCTGGTCACATAAACCACATTCATCTTCTTTCACATCTCTCTTCCTTCATGCTTGTTGAATTTATTAATCTGTGTGCTTTTTGGAAAGAGCCACAGTTCTATGGCCTTGCTTGTCCCAGCCCATTGCCTTCCCCCAACCTCTTGAATGTAGTTATAAGCACAGACCAAGCACTGGTTTAGCACTGCCCTTTAATTATTTTGTGTGCTCCAAAGACAACCACAGAAAGGCAAGTCTGTATTTGCTTGGTAGAGAAAAACTCAAGTTTCTGGAAAAGCTCAAAAAATGAACTCATTAGTCAGGAGATTTTTAAAAGGAAGCAGGTTACAACTGGCCTGAGAATAATATGTCTGTTTCTCATAAACTAGTTATTTTTTATTAACTCTAACAGGTGATCTCTAAGGCTCTTTCAACTATCATTTAAAGTTTTTTTTCTGGTTATTAGCTGTGAATTCCTAATTTGTATACTATATAGCTCTTCCATAAAGGGATTTCTGAGTTTTCTCTATACATCCCATTTAGTGATCCAGCTCCAAGCAGAAAACGGCTTTCTCTCCCCGGCAGCGCCTCTGGGCTCTCAGTTCTGAGGTTCCACGGTGCTCGTGTTAGGTGTAGACTGTATCTGTGGCGGTGCTGGTTGAGAGTTATTGTCAAGCCCTTTTAGAGGAATATTCAGAAGGAGGCAGAGATGCTGCATTGCCCATGGAAGTAGAAAACAGAATAATTAGGCTTTGGACATTTTGGGAGAGAAGAGCATCATCTGACTTCTCAATCTCCCCTGTCCAGCCCATCCTGCCAGAGACAAGTTACAGAGAGGGTCTTTCTTATCATGGGTTTGAACAAGGCCAGTCTCCATCCTGTAATTCAGAGAATCAGACACAGGAAGAAACTGGGAAGTCCTTGGTTTGGGTGGGGTATGCCACCTTATTTTGCTGGTCCCCACTGTCTTCCTGTAAGGCTCTTTCATCTCTCTGAGGAAAATGCAGGATTCAGACCAAGTACTTAACGGATAACAGATCCTTTTTTAAAATTTTTGTCCCAGTACAGCCCACAGTATTCCTCCACTACGAATTATCGGAAGACCACCTAAATATCACTTGCTCTGCCACTGCCCGCCCAGCCCCTGTGATCTCCTGGAAATTCCTTGAACCAGGGATTGAAAATAATACTGAGGTTCTGACTCACCCAAATGGGACGACGTCTGTTACCAGTGTCCTTCACATCAAAGACCCTAAGACTCAGGTGGGGAAGGAGGTGGTCTGCCAGGTGCTGCACCTCGGGAATGTGACTGAGTTCAAGGAAACTGTGAGCAAAGGTAAGAGAAGGCGAGCAAGGACAACTGGGGTTGCGTCTGTGTACACACACCTGGAAGGAGATAAATGTCCCCCAGGGAATGGGATATTTGTCCCCTACTTCAGTCTCTTAGTAAAGGAGGTTGGTAGGGAGAGAACGAGGTAAGAAAGGAAGGAAAATCAGGGGAGGAAGCAAATAAAGCAGGTTTTACTTTGGTAAATGTGATACATTGCCCACACATCAAATGCTGGTGCTGGGATCCATCCATTCATGTATTTCTTTCATTCTACGAACATTTACTGAGTGTCTATTATATGCCAGACTTTGGGGCAAACATGAAAATCACATCAGTTGGCAAGACCCTGTTCCTGCACTCAGAAAGTTTCTAGTCTACTAGGGAACACGGAGAAGCAGCTTGGCAATTGTAGAAGTACACGTTAAATGCTTCAGTAAAAAATTTACAGTGCATCATAGGAGGACTGATGGTGCGGATGAGGGGTATGAGCTAAATATGGAGGTGGGGAGATCGGGAGGATTTCCTGGAAGAAGTGACATCTACAATGAAAACTTTGCATTATCTACATTGCAAGGAAGGGGACAATGTCAAATATTTTCCTCCTCATTTTAAAACAAACTCCTCCCATCCAAGTCTCCTTTTCTTCCTTGTGTTTGAGCTGCTGTCTTTGGCTTTCATGGACACAAGAGATGAGAATTATGGGTGGGAAAATGAAGGAAGCAGTGCTTTTAGAAACAAGAAGTTTTAGCAGAAACAACCAGTTTTCTTTCTCCATGTAGTTTTGAAGCGCTAACTCTGGATGAAATGCTCAGTAATAACCTAAAAACTATTAACTGCTCTTTGAAGGGGGGACATTTGGAACAGTAAAACCTGGGAAAGCTTTCCTCTTACCTCTTGGGTGATGTGGCCGCTAAGGAATGTCTCTTGTGGGCATGTCTGGGGTCACTGAAAACCCAGACTAATCAAAAAGGGGATTAGGTAAATTTGATCAAAAAGATTTGCAGTCTTGGAATTGAAAATCTGTGAAGAGATCTGCAGATCCAGCCACTGCAAATGGTAAATTTTCCTAGAAAACAAAAACCTGAAATAGAACGTGTCTTCTTTTCCAAGAATGCCAAATTTGATAGATCACTTAAAATGTTTACATGCCGTTTGGATGGTGGTTATTCATCCTATAAACATGTACTAAAAATCTGCCAAGCTGAAAGCATTGTGTCAAGCCCTGGAATTATAGAAATTAGACCAATCCCTGTCTGAAGGTACTTGTTTAAACTGGGATGTGACAAATCCCATTATGGAGTACGGAGAAACTGCTGGATCCTCCCAAATCAAGGAGGTCATCCTTTGCCTTTCTATTGCCAAGTGACACCAAAGAGTTGACATTTGGGCTGAGTTGCATTTATTGACTACTGAAAAGAGATTTAATCACAAAGGCATAGACTAGAAGAAATTCAATAAAAAACATTGAGATGAGTTATTTCTTGGGGTTAAAGTCATGAGATTCATGATTTTCTCCTTTATACATCTCTATATCTTCCTCAATAAAATATGTATTATTCAATGGACAATATGACAAATAATTTGTGCTTTGGAAGTAAACAGGCTTTTGACTAAGTCTTGACTCTCTCATGATCTTACTTAACTTTTCTGAACCTCAATTTTTTTTAAATCTGTCAGATAATCCTACCTAACTCTTTGAATGTTTTGAGGATTAAATGAGATAACACATCCAAAGCTTTTACTAGATAGTAACCAGATAAAGCATATTAGCTGTTACTAATATCTAAATGTTATCAAAATCCTAAGCAGTCATGAATATAGACTTCCATGTGTATGTATTTAAGGATAATTTTAATTTAGAGCACAACTCCAGTAACAACTTATCATAACTACTGCTTTATCACTTTGGGCCTCAATTTATCTTCTTGTGACTTCGTTTTTCTTTTTCTTTCTTCAGGATCCACAGGCTTTTGGTTCTCAGTTCCTCTAATGCTAAGCATTGTTTCCCTGATTACTCTTCTGGTCTTAATCTCAATTTTATTATACTGGAAACATCACCGGAATCAGGACTGAGGTAAGTCATCACAGGGAGTACAAAAAATGACACAGGTTACATGATTTTTTAAATGACAATTTCTGGGTCCTTTGAAGACATAAATAAGGAAATGACAACAATGTGTTTTGTTCCTTGTTTCCAAAATAACATAAATGTTTTAAAATGCTTTAGGGTCATTGTCTTGCAATTGGATGTTATTGCTTTCCATTTGCTAAGATGGTTTAAAAGCTAATTATTTCATAAGTTGAGAATAAGGGTTAATGAGAAGAAATGAGAAAAATGTTTATCCAAACACAATGGAATCATTTGATGGCAGAACCGAACAAAGAAGTCTGGCACCCATGTAGGGTCCTTTCCATTAATGAGAAGAAAAATATATTCTCTTTTTACAGCATTCCACACACCACCTGCCCATATAAGAGACTGTAAGTTTCTCAATTATGGTCACTAATTGGGTAGCCCTTTCTGTATTGTAGCCCCATGATGTCTCAAACATGGTGTCACTAACACATGCAGGTGATCCTTCCTTACAGTAACTGTCTTGTCATTCTGCCCTTCTAGACTGTAAATCTTCTCTTTATCCTTCACACTATCTATTATAGCCTCTTTTATATACCAGGTGCTCAATAAATGTCAATTTATTTATTGAATGAATGAATGAGTGAATGGAAAGATGGATAGATTTTTCAAAGTGATTTTTTTCAACTCCCTTTCTCCAATTATAAATTCAGTGCCTCATAAATGCCAGTCTAAAAGAATATGAGGCATAATAAAACAAGAAACACCATGAAATAAGAGAGATGAGCTACAATAAAGAGAGAGAGAAGTGAATTTCTTCAATTTTTGAAGACAGCACACAATTTACTAAAGCAGCAGGAAGCTGCAATGTACTTTATGTGTAATGGGAACTCCCTAGGGCCTGGGGTAACATGGAAGTTTCCTCCATCTCAGATGGCTGAAGGATAGGAGGTGTCAGAGAAGATGAAGTATTGGCTTTGGTAGTTATTTTGAATTTTGTGAATTTTGAATCCCCAATTTTGAGCTTTGCAAGATTTTTGAATTTCTCTCAAATGCCACTCTTTCCCCCTACATCTTTCATATTTTAAGTCTTTTGACCACTTTATTTTGCATAAGCCTCATCAGATTAGTTCTTATAAATTTGTAATACAAGCAACAATCTTCATTGTCAGTGGCCTTTTTGCAAAAGTGGGTAAAGGTACTTGTCTGTTCAGGAGAAGAGATTGCAAATCAGACAATCTGATTTCACATATATATAAGCCCATAGAACCCATGAGCTCTCATGCAGGATGTCAGAGTTGGAAGTCTATTTGATTCTATTTTATCTAAACATTTCACTTTTCCAGTTAGGAAAGTGAATCCCAGAGAATGAAGCTGATGTTCACACAGCTTCTTAAGAACAGGTTAAAGCTAAGAACACTGGTCTCTGGACCTCTGCCCTGCTGTCCTTCTAATCTGTACAGATAGAAGCCCTAGAGCCCAGACATGAAAGGAGCTATCATTATGGATTACATTCATTTTAATCTGTGCTTATTTGTTACTGCCCTATTCTATTGGAAAGGGCAAGTAGAAAAGTATATTCAAATTCATTTTTTAAGGTTCCTCTTAACAATACAGTCTATTCAAGCCCAAGGTAAATTTCACCAGAAAGGAACATTTGCAAAATACTAGCATTTGTTCATTACATAAGTCTTGCATTTCCTGAGAAATACAGTTGTTCAGTACCACATCTGATTCCTGAAATAAAGGATTCAACTTATCTTTGTGCCCAAGTGTTTCCTTATTATCAGCTATACACCCGAACCTGTGTTGAATCGTGTAAGCCCTAGGATTCTCATTTATCGAGAATGTCTTTATGACCTGTGGACAATTCAGTTAATCTCACTGAATGTTCAGTAGCATATTTTGAATCACTGGATTCTTGATTGGTTTCACACATTTTAATTTCAGGTAATTTGTTTACATATACTTACTGCTAGTAAGTAAATGCTGGAGGCTTAAATGCTCAGGCCTAAGGTCGTACTTACTAGTTCATTAAGGCCAAACCTTAAGTTACAGAAAAAGTTGGGAGAAGGGAAAGAAAATCACGAAGATAGTGACACTTTCTATTTCTACAAGTAACAAATTCTGGTGGTTACTTTGTGAGGAAGGAGAATAGCCCTATACATTTGCCTTTTATTTTTTCTTACCCTTAATGTTGTTTTATTTCTCTTTTTCTTTCCATCATCTTCTGAAAACAAAATTTTGGATGGGCAGGGCAACCTGATCAGGCAAAATGACACAGGGTTTTGAACTTAGTGACCTGATAAATAAAAATGATGAAGTGAATAGAAAAAGAGAAGTGAGGATGTAGAAGTGAATGTGTGTGTGTTCAGAGTTTGTAGAGAGGTAAAGATGAGGAGCGAGAATGAGAAAGATTCATATTTTAATTATTGAGTGTGAACAAAGAATCATTTCCACATAGCTTACCCAGCAGTCAGTAAGAAAAATCCAGTAAGTCTGTTAAGTAGACTCTTAACAGAATCACCTCTTTGTTAGATAAATGACCAAAAAGAAAAGAGCAAAAAGTGTATTTGTTTACCCTAATCATTATTCATTGCCCATAAAAGCTAAGTAAATGTATAGTTTCTGCACAGAGGGGTAATCGCTAATGACTGATGTTATCCTTAGACTCCTTTTACTTTTCTTGTGATTTTGTATAATGTTGGTCTTTTTCAACTGTAAAGCTGCAGATAGCACCATTCTTGATGGGACCATCACAGTTACTTCCCTGGAGACTACCACAGGAAGACTAATAAGCTCTCAAAGAATATTCTTTTCTTTTTCATGAATCTAGTATTTCATTACTTAAAAGGAAAGTGAGAAAGAACTAAAATTCCCTAGGAAAAATTTCCACCATCTCATAGTACTTCTTTCTATTAAAACCCAGTGATGTCATATGGTTTTCCCTTCTACATATATGACCATGTAGTTAAAATTTTGGATTGAGAATAATCTTTTATTTCTCATTAGTTAATCCACCAATGATTGCATGCTTCTCAGAAACAATAAAAGAAAGTTCACTATAGGACAGATCATCATAGAAAAAACACCTAATTTTTAGGCATCCTTCTTCCCTTTTTTTTGAGACAGTGTCTCACTATGTTGCCCTCAGTAGAGTGCTATGGTGTCACAACTCACAGTGACCTCCAACTCTTGGGCTTAAGCAATTCTCTTGCCTCAGCCTCCCAAATAGCTGGGACTACAGGTGCCTACCATAATGCCTGGCTATTTTTTTGTTGTACTTGTCATTGTTGTTTAGCAGGCCTAGGCTGTGTTCAAACTTGCCTGCCTTGGTGTATGTGGCCGGTGCCCTAACAGCTGAGTATGGGTGCCAAGCCAGGGGCATCTTTCTTGAGAATGGCTATTCTCTTTTGTTTTGTCTGATTGGGCCACAGGTGAGTTGGAAAACAATAGAAAATTTGGACAATCGTGTGAAATTCATATTCCAAACTTCACTTTTTCATATACTAGCTATTTCATGTAGAAATATATTTTTACCCACATGATCTAGATATTTACCATGATTTTCTTCACTCTAGCCTAACCTATGAATGGGCTCTTGACATTGCAACAATGGCAATATTTGTAAAATGCTATTTCCTGGGTGGCAGCATGTCACTATCTTCTATTTGAAGCTTAGTACTCTGTTATGCAACAAAGGTATTCAGTAAACAGTTTGTGATGGTGCAATTGGTTATTAGTTAGAAGGATGACACAAATAATTTTCAGTCCTTCCAAAGTAAAGATCTTTTATTTGCTAAAAAATTGTACTTAACATTTCCCAGACAAAGGCGGGATGAATGGTAATACCTACCCCCACCCCAGTATACTCATAGTTCTAGGAAGAAGTGTGATGCAATATATAAGAAAAGCAATAAGGAACTTTTATTGACCTAATTAGTTCAGCATTGCTGGGGAAGATCTTGTATTCCAAGGCCATTTTTCTGTAAGTACAGTAGAATCTCTATAAGTTGACCACCTAGGAAACTGCAACATACAGAGGTGGTCAACTTAAGGAACTAGACCTATTATACTGGCACATAAATGTAGCTCATCTCATGTCCAGTCTATGAAAATCAGGTCAAATTAAGGAAGTGGTCAATGTAGGGAGGTGATCAACTATGGGGGTTCTACTGGATTTTATAAATTTTGCAAACGGCACCCATCATGCCTAAATGGCAGGACATAGTCTTAATCACAAAGTCCTTACCTAACAGACCCTAAAGCCTGCTTTCTTGCCCAGAGCTGGGTTTTTGTTTCTTTATTGCTGTTGTTGTTGTTGTTTTTGCTCCCCTCTTCCCTTCCTGTGATATAAACAAACCCACAGAGACTTAAGTGACCTGAATTTTGAGTTTCAGTCTCAAAGTGGGGATCACTTCTAGGAATAAGACATCTCAGCCTCCTGCACATTCAGTCATGCAGCGTACCTGTTTCCTTGCCTTTTTGGCCATGGGGCTATTTTCAGATTAGTTATCAGCATTAGTGTCATCTGTTAGACTAATTAATGAAAAACAAAAAGGATGAGAGAATCCTCCAGCTAATCCTCTGACACTTCTCCTTGTATACATATTGATCATCTGTTCCCACCTGATCATGCACTTCAGGGGTATAAGCATACTACTAAGCTTGGCTCTGAACAGATCCACGATTTCAGCCCCCACTACCAAGAGAAGCCAACTTCATGGTCTTTAAATTGGAAAAGTTTGGTTCACTCAACATGGCTTAACTGAGGGGTAACATCATAAATGCTGTATTAACTTTCTATTGCTTCTCTATCAAATTATCACAATTTATAGTGGCTGAAAACAACACAGATTGACAATCCTACAGTTCTGGAGTATTAGGAGTCCAACCTGCCTTTCACTGAGCTAAAATCAAGATGTCCTGGGGGCTGCATTCCTTTCGGGAGACTTTAAAGTCTATCCCTTTTGTTTTTTCTTTTTTATCTTCTAGATACCACCCACTTGTTTGCCTTTGTGCTTTTCATCTTCAAAGGCAGCAATGGCCACTTGAGTCTTTCTCACACCGAATCACTCTAACTTCTGACAGGCCTGTTTCCTCTCTTCCTTTATCATCCTTCCTTTCTCATTCTGCTTGTTTTTCACCAGGACTGTTGGGATTATATTATGTGATACAGGATAAGCTTTGTGTCACAGATCCTTAATTTAATAAATCATATAGAATTTAACTTGATCATATCATAGGGTGACCAGATTTTTAACATTTGTAAAACGGGACAACATGGCGGAAGTGGGGGGGGGCAGGGGACGGGGCAGGGCAGGGCCTGACAACAATGCATACTTTGATAAGCAATTTTTGATAATCACTTCTCAACAATTATTTGTAATTATTACAGTTTAACGTTATAAAATTAACAAAAATAATACAAAACTCATATTCTGGCGAAATAGCCACATGGCAGCCAAAAACTATATATTCCCTTCCTGTTCTCCTGCCCGTTCGTCCATTCATTCCAAAAATCGGGACATTTTTAAAACGCCATGGGACGCGGGAAAAATTGTTGAAAAGCCCGACAGTCCCGCCAAAAGCAGACGTCTGGTCACCCTATCATATCAGTGAAATCCCAAATCTCTTTTGCCATGCAAAGTAACATATTCACAGGTTGTTGGCCTTAGGATGTGGACATCTTTGAGGGACCACTATTAGGCTTCTTACCTTAAAGGCTAAGAGAGTGTGGCAGTGAGCTGGGTAGGGATGCAGTTGTTAATGACCTCCCAGTGCAGCATTCCCTCTGTATTAATTCGGTAGTAGTTTTGTTTGTGGTAACTCTTACGTCATAGGATATCAGAACCTCGTCAGAACTCTGATCCCACTACAATCGGGCAAGACTTCATTTTTCAAGGTTATATTTTATCTTTCAAGTTCATAATGCAGAAGCATTACTTCTGCTTTCTCTAGTTTTCTACTCATCACTAACGGTAATATTGCAAAGACTAAGGTTTTTAAAACTGGAATCTTAATTCTTGAGTATTTCTTGCTTCTCTCTACTCCCACCTCCTCACAGAGGCAAGTAATTCTGACTTCCTTTAATACCTCAGTTACAAGCAAATTCACTAGATTCTCTGTGGAAGGTCAAACTGAGAAAATTATATTTATTGCTATGTAAAGTGATAGTAGGCATAAGCAAATTAGTCTTAACTCATTTGTCATAATTCATTAATGGAAATTTCTAAGTCTCTAATACTTGCAAACTTGTGTTATGAAGTAGCGGTAGGTTTTAGGAACTGCAAAAGCATGTTATGAAGCATTTGTAGATTTTAGAAGCCCAAATATTTTCCATATCATTCTCAGAATTCATTGAAATTCCTACTTGTATACCCAAGTTGAGTCCAGGAGCCTATATGCAGTAGAGCAGCTCATCCACTAACAGACTTTAAAAAAAAAGTAGAGAAATATATATCTACATATATATAGTTGACGAAATATATCAGATATAAAAATGGCTAAAAATGTCAGAAAAAGAAAGAAACTGAAGTCTCAGGCATGTGAAGTACAATTTTCATCAATACATTTGGTCTTTTACAATAACCATACTGTAAAATAAAATATAATTTACTCTAACAAATGGAGAGCAAATGGGATTTTATAATTCAAACATGCAAGTCAGTTTTGCAAAAATCACAACTTCAGTGTTAAGTTCTACATTTCTTGAGAGACCACTGTGGAAATTTCTATAAATGGGAGATTATCACAAAAGAGTCTCTTGCCCTTCTCCGTAGACAAACTAGATAGAATTTCATGATCAATGGCACAGCAAATTTCAAGTATATCATACAGTGTTGTTAATAACTGTAGTCACCATGTTGTGCCATAGATCTTTTGAACTTCTTACACCTAGCTAAAATTCTTTTAATCTTAACCAAGGTTGCATAAAATAATTAAGAAATTGAATATCATGGTTTATTCCTACAATATTTCTGACTTCAAGAGTTAAAAATGTTTAACCATTAATCCTGCTGAGGATTATTGTAAATAACACATAGAATTATTTGTTTCCAATCAGTCATTTTTATTTGCAACTATGAATAATTACTCAGTGATTTTCATCAAGTCCTCAATCTACAAATTAGCTGAGTACCTTTGGACAAGCCATTTAACCTTTCTTTGACTTGTATTCCTCCTTTGGTAAGATGGGGGTAATAATTTTAACTGTATCTCATAAGAGTGTTGTGAAAATTTAAACGGAATATATTCAGGAGCTTAGAAAAGTCACTAAAAGCAATGGTATTCTGGGAGACTGGCCAGGGCTGGTTCCTGCCTTGTGCCTTGAGCTGCCAGGGTATAGGCTCTGGCCACACAAACCCCTGAACCTGATTCATTGGGCAAATAATTATCTCACTTGTTTTTATTGATCTTTGTTGAATATACAACATTCACAAGTATAGCTCACATTTATTGTGAGCTATAGGGCAAAGGAGTGAGTGCTTATTAGTAGCTTTTGCCAACTTCTGTGATATAAATATTCTTACTATCCTCAATTTCCAGCTACCAACAATTTTACCAACATCATTTAAGGCTCCAGCACACTAATGCAACATAGTAAGTTTCCAATAAATGTTAGTTCCTGTTATGACTAAACCTAGGGGTTTTTTTTTTGGTTGTAGTAATGTGTATTTTTATGAATTGTGCAAATGTTGAAGGAGGGGTAAGTTTAAAGAGGTAAATGGGGGGAGAGACATGGGTACTGCGTAAGTTAAATGAGTTTGGAGAAAGATTTCAGAAGTTATCTGAGTTTGTTTGGATATATGGGCAGAACTGTTTGTATGGGAGAAGAACACATACAGTAAACCTTAACTAAACGTTGTTAGTAGGTTCTTGAAAATTGCAATTTTAAGTGAAATGACATACAAACCAATTTTACCATAGGCTAATTGATACAAACAAGAGTTTAGTTCCTATGACATATTTCTGGACACAAAAACATCACCCAACTTCTAAATAAAGACCAGAACACTTGCAATGTTAAAGATTGAAATAGATGTGAGCTATACTTGTGAATGTTGTATATTCAACAAAGATCAATAAAAACAAGTAAGATAATTATTTGCCCAATGAATCAGGTTCAGGGGTTTGTATGGCCAGAGCCGATACCCTGGCAGCTCAAGGCACAAGGCAGGAACCAGCCCTGGACAGGAGCCATTCCAATGTAGGGCACACTCACACGCACCCACACTCACTCAGACTGGGGCAATTTAAACACACAGATTCCCTTGACATATAGCACATCTCTGGAATGTGGGAGGAAACTAGAATACCCAAAGAAGACCCACACAAACATAGAACACGCAAACTCCACATAGACAATGGCTTTGGATGGGTTGATTTCTTTTTTTCTCATCAGTGTTATAATAAAATAACTTTGAACAAAACCTGCTGTATGAGTCATTTAAATAGCAGTCTTGAGCGAAGTTTAGAGTAGAAATAAGCCCAGTGGGCAATGAATCAAAAAATATATGTACCAAAAGCCTACGTGTACTGAAATGGATTTGTGATGCCTAAAATGACTTCTTGATACGGCAATCTTAATTCTTTTTGAAGAAAAGAAACTGTTTTGGTTAAACTCCTTTTTTAAAGGTGAGAGTGTGGCTTAAGGACAGTTACTCAACTTAGCATGTAAGTCAGGGGTACAGTGAGGGCATTTCTGGTAAGCATGTGTTTGAATGGATTTCCAGGAAACTAAACTGCTGGATGTCAGGTAGAGAAGCTACCTGGAGGTGGTTGTTGACCCAAAGTTGCCCTAGGTTGCTCACCAGCACTGATTCACAGGTGTTTCATTTGTTTCCCCAATCCTTACCATGCATTGGCTGCTCTTCCTTCTCACCACTAAACAGTTTCTTTACCCTCCGTTTAAACATACCTCGTTGTTTCTGTTCCCTTATAACATTGGTTCATAGAAGATGCAATCCAAAAAACAAAATTTTTTTTGTCAGATCACAGGAAAAGACAAAAAAAATCATGATCTCTAGGTATGCCCTGCATATTTGCAAATTAACCAGTACTCAGGAGGTCCTTAGGCATTATTTCCTGGGATTCCCTACGTCCTTTTGAAGGAAGACCTGGTCCCCCTAATATATTAGCCCAGGAACATTTACTTCTTTATTTTGCCAATGAAATATGTGTTGAAGAATTCCGTGATTCTTAATCCTGCTATTATTTATCTTCTTAAAATATATTGGGCTAGAAATTATAAATGTCCAAAGTTATTATCTTGGTTTTCTTTTATCCAGAGCCCTAGATGAGTCACATAGAATGCTGAAGGTTATTCCCTGGTCTACTTGAATCTGATACAAGAGGAAATCAGCAGGAAAATGGGCCATTCATGAAAGGACCTGAAAAAGCAAGAGAGGTGGGAGGGAAAGGCTTAAGAATCCCACGACTTTCTACGCCATCTAAGCTGCTCACTGAGTTTCAAGAGGAAGTCATCTTACCTCACAGGTCTGTTGTAGGACTTGATTTTGTAAAGCAATGCAGTGTTGTGCTATTGTAAGGGCACTGGACTTAGATTCGAGAGCACTGAGCTCACAGGCTGACTTGGGCTCCTGCTGGTGGGGACCCTGGGTTGGTCACTTTACCTCAATGAGCTTCCATGTCCTCATCTGAGTATAAAGGAATTGGACCAGACTCTTTGCCATTCAGCTGCAAAAACTGATATATTCCAGGAAAAAGAATAAAAAAGAATAAGCAAAGGGGAAGAAGTGAAAAAGAGAGCGAAGAAAGAATACGGAAAGGCCCAAAGAACTTTTCAAAGACAACTTTCTGCCTTTCTGTAGATGTTTCATCTCTTCTTCCCTTGTCCTTAGGTCTGTGAGTCTGCTTTCCTATCATTTGCTGTCTCATCCACTACCTGCTACTGTTTTGCTATAGCTGGCCTTGTTAGAACTCTTGTTTTCACTGCTAATTTTTCACGTGCTACTATGAGGTTTAATACAGCAAAAGTAGAACTGAGTTGCTTGTGAAATAACACTGTCAATCTTAACTTATTCCTTTGACTTATCTATTTTTATAGCAGGGAAAATATTATTAAACAATGGCAGACTTTTTTTTTTTTAAAGCATGCTTTTACTGTCCATTTGTCTTATAATATGACCCAACCCTCTTTTAGGTCATTCGGAATTCAGCCTAGTATAATGAAAATATATTATGAAAACAGTCATTTAGGAGATTTCCTGTACACAGTCAGCCAAATCATGTGCTTTGTCTCTGCTGGTTTCTTTTTCCATGAGCTAATTTGTCACAATAGCAGAGAAAGTGAATCTGAGCATTCAGTTCCTTTGTTCTAAGGATATTGTCCAACTAGTGGAACAATATTGCATCTTAAATAACCATGAGACAAAATTAGTTGCTTTTCCAGTATCTTTTGCTTCGTTTGTCTCTATCCAGTGACCTAGGAATTAAAACATAAGCTGTTTTCACTGTTGGACTGAAAATATTTATATATTTAGTAAAGATTCATATGTTATTTAATTCTTTATTATTTCTTATATTTGTAGTAGAATTCTGAACATTAAAAGTGTTAAATCTAAATGTTTGGTTTATAATATTCTCTTGGGAAAGTGAAAATGAATGAAAATCCTTGTATTTTACTACTGTGTGTGAAACCTCTCCTCCTCTCTGTCTCCCACCCCCTAAAAGATTCAGTTGCTGTTTCCAGCTAATCACAGAATCCCAAATCACATGTGTCTGGTCTGACCAGCAGGCGTGCCTTCAAGTTGGCGCCTACATTCTTTCAACATGACCCCATTAGCTTTGGAGCACTTCTTACATGTGCTCTTTTGGTTTTGCTATTAGGTACCAACCTTTGTAAATTGATGAGATAACAACAGTTTTGAATTTAGCATAAGTCAGTGCCCTGAATTTTTCTGTATTTCTGGTATCTCAGCTAAATTGTGCTAGATTAGATAGAATAACTTAATGCTGTGGTTCTCAAACTTCTTGGTCACAGGACCCCTATCTGCATTTAAAAACATCATTGAGGGCCCTGTGTTTTTGTAATATGAATTATGTCTTTTGATAGTTACTATATTTGAAATTATAACTTATAAATATTATAAACAAAAATATATGAGCATGCATCCTATTAGCTTTTAGAGTGATGCCAACCCCTCATACCATATAGCTTCTGGAAAACTCCACTTGTGAGAGAATGAGAGTGAAAAAGGCAACTAATGCATTGGTATCGTTATGACATTAATTGTTTTTATTATGTGGACCCCCTGAAATAGTTGCAGGGATAATACTAAAAGACCACTGATTTCAAGTCTAGGCAAAGAAGGAGACCATCTTATGAGAAGATTTCAGGAGTCTTTTTCAGAGAAACTCCTTACTAAACAGCAGTCTCCATGGTATCTGAGCATTTCCCCGTATAACCAAGACTTTAAATCAGGCTACTGCCTTTCTGGGAGCTCCTGCTTAATGTACAGAGACCTAATTAATCCTCATCCATCACTAATAATTCAATTTAATCATCTTATTAAATGGCTTGTCAGCTATGTTTCAGGATACTAAGAGGCTTGGATTAGGATAGGCATGTTTGATGGGGAGGCTTACTGAGAAATGGAGGAGAAGGAAGGGGTGGTTGGAAGCATGCCCCCATCTGAGAAGGAGGGTAAGTGTGGAGCACCACAGTCTGGCTTACTGCCCTATGACTTGTGCTCCCCCTACCTCCCAGGAGGGGCTGGTGAACTTATCTTAAACTTTCAATTAAGGGTGCTTTTTTGTATTTGTGAATTAGAAAGAGGTAGCTTGGGCTTTGCATAATTAAGCACAATTGGGAAAGTTGTAAACTTTTTAGGCACTTAGAATAATTCATTCACATGGTTTTCGTCTTAGTAAAAATTTAGAAAAATTCCAGGAAAACCAGCTCAAAGTCAGGGGAAAACAAAAAGCCCTTTGTGCTTGACTAAAATTGAAACTGAAAGTGAGGATTTTTTTTTTGTAGATATTTGTCAATCACTAACCACACAACAATTTATCAATCTAGGTTCAAAAAGTACGAAATCCTTATTACTGCTAGGAATAATTAAAACAATTTTCGGAGCCAACTGTTTTCTGTGATTATTCCTAGCTTATCAAGAAAGGGTATTCTAAATGAATGAAGTTCCCTAAATTATTTCCTCACAACTATGTTTCTATTTTTTGTATTTGTTCTCAAAATATTCCAGATTTGTTCTGAATCCCACACCCTCCGTTTCTCAGGCTCATTCACTAACGCAAGGTCATGTAGAGCTCTGATCCAAGCCAAGGAAACCAGCATTTGCAGACATCACCAGCATTTGAGGCTTGTGAGGTCAGGAAGGTATTAAATTCCATTTTTGTAGGTGTGAAAAATAAGGGTCCAAGATTTTCAGAGAGTTTCCTTGAGTAGCATGTTGAATGTGCGTTGGGGCCAGGTGCAGTGGCTGACGCCTGTAATCCTAGCACTCTGGGAGGCTGAGGCGTGTGGATTGCTTGAGCTCACAAGTTTGAGACCAGCCTGAGCCAGAGTGAGACCTCTTCTCTAAAAATAGCCAGGTGTTGTGGTAGGCACTTGTAGTCCCAGCTTCATGGGAGGCTGAGGCAAGAGAATTGCTTGAGTCCAAGAGTTGAGCCAAGGCACTCTACCAAGGGCAACAAAGTGACGTTCTGTCTCAAAAAATAAAAATAAATAAGTGTGCACTGGCACTGGAACTCCAACTCAGAATTCCAGGTTTCCTGTTTAGTTAACTCTCTTTCCTCCCCACCCATGTGATAATTCATCCCACATCCTATTTTTCAACGTATCCTGTTTATTCCATCAATATATTCAGAATCCAAGCCCTACCTCCAACCTGGCCCAACCCATCATTCAGCTGTCCAATGTTTTTTCTTCTCCGCTGCACATTGGAAGAAGAGTTATCTTGGGGCCACACATGAAATACACAAACACTAACAAAAGCTGAAGGGCCAAAAATAAAAAAAAATCTACATGATTTTCACAATATCTGAAACCACAGATAAGCAAAACAATCTTCATATAATTCACTTGCAGCCTTTGGACCACAGGTTAGATTACCCCTATTAGGTCAGTACCATCACATTCTAATTAATCTTCCTGCTTCTGCTTTCTCCTCTTTTCAGTCTATTTCAGTAAATATAACTATTCTAAAATATATCTAGCCATATCGTGTCATTCTTCTGCAAAAACTGTCCAAGTGCTTTCTGTCTCCCATATCATAGAAGACAAAAGTCTTTACATGAGCTATCAGGTGCTACATAGTGAGACTCCCTGATACTCTCTGAAACAATCTCCTACTACTTTTCTGGGCACTAGTCTTCCTGCTGCCTTACCAATATTCTGAATGTGTCTCTACCTTGAGGCCCTGGTACTTAGCTCTTCTCTCTGCTGGAATGTTCTTTCTGTAGATACCTGCATGACCCTTATAACCTTTCCCCTGAAAAACACCTACATCTCCCTTCCTTGCTTCATTTTTCTCCATTGCTCTCATCACCATCTGGGATGTTATATGGTTTACTTGTGTATTTTGTTTATGATTTGTCTTCTTTGTAAGCATCATGAAGTCAGAAATTTTTATCAGTCAGAAAATTTTTTGAATGAATTGTTTTTCCACTAATACATTGTGGGAGGAAGAAGTAGTCTAAACAACACTGCATTGGTGCTTCCTTCCTGCCTTCTAGAAGAGTGTGATTGAACTAGAGAGTAGGAAATAGACTCTTAGAAATTGGTAATCATGAGGCATAGGAACCAGCATAAAGGATTTGAAACCAAAACAACAGGGTTCATAGCCCATCCTTGGCAGTCAGCATGTATCATCATGGCCCAGTCACTTCATCTCTTTGGATTTGCATTTCCTTGGGTATAAATTGGGGTGTGCACCAACTCTCTTCCCTGGGTTGCTCCAATGTTCAGGTGAGAAGGGTGGTGTTCTCCAACATGCGAGCTTGTATGCTGAGGACTGCCTGCTCCATGATCTCAAGACTCCCACTGAAATAGCATGGTCCCCCCCTCTTCAGTGGCCTTTCTAGCACCTCCTTACCCACAGTCAGCTGGTCCTTTGGTCAGAGCAGACATAGAGTTGAGGAGGAAGTGGGAGTATCAGCTAAACAGAGACAAAAGCCCCTGGATTTGCTTTAAGGGAAGTAGAGACCCCAATGCACCACCCAAATGACTTGGCCTTTTGTCTTTGTCCTTCTGCCAAGCACAAAGGAATAAAAGACAAAGGAGTTAAAGCTCTTTCTATTTAGCATTGGTTTTCTGAGGACAGTGTTGTGCTCTTACTCTAGAGTATTACCAGCTATGACCTCAGAGATGGCAGAGAGCCCTCTGGAATACATAAAGAGGATGCTGAAATTGACTTTCCTGAATTCTCTCCTTAGAGTTATGTTGGTTTACAAGAGCTGATAATACATCATTATAGGAGGACTTTGCCAGAGTTTGAGAAGTTCCAGAGAACTCAATAGATATTTTGTACATATTTTGATCTAACTCACTGACTCAGAACACTCAACTCAGAAGGTTGGAACTCTTCTTTCTAGAAGTGTTTTCATTTTCCAGTCCAACTGCAGAAAGGCAATGAAGCACAGCTGCTCGCCGATGCATTTCAAATACCACATGATTCTGGATCTGGTGGTGGTGTTCAGCTGTATCTAGTAATTTCTTTAACTTGTATGCATGTTGATTTTTCTTCTTATACATCAAAGACAGTCTTA